TGTGTGTGTGCGCAGGAGTTTGATCAACCACTGCTAGGAGGGGGCTGGTTCGTTTTACAATAGATGCTGTATTAATATCCTTGGCCTTTTATACACAGACAGTAATATATCAGTGTTTTCAGGCATGCTACAATCAATGCGGTTGCTTTGATTTTAACTGCTTTGCCAGTCTCATTTCAGCAGGTCTTCTATGAACATATCGTCTCTGTACTTGATTCTGAAGCATTACATGGTTTGTTTGTTTTTTTTTTTTCCCGTGCTTCTGCATGAATCCCAGCCGTGCACTGTGATGAAATCATGCTTGTGTATGGATTTTTTTTTGTATAGGTGGGTATTTTTGCAGAAAATTTACGAACTACAAGAGCTGTGGTTGGAATTTTTTGGCCAAAGCACCGGGTTTATAGTCCTAGTGTCGGGCAGGGTTAAAATTTCCTCATTTAGTTCGTTACATAAAAAGAATTGGATGAAAAAATTAGTTAAAATCGGTGCCTAAATTTTCGTATGTGTTGATCTGGGATCTCATTTTGGGCTGATGTTATGGTTCTATCAAAAAAATCAATCCACAAGAAATGTTTGTTGCCTTTTAGGCAGTGATTGGGTTAAAAAATCGTCGTAATAAATCCATCTCTTCTATATTTTGCCAGTTGCGCCCACTCCGCGTTCGCCGCAAAAACCCGGTAGCGAACGATGCCATTTTTTTCGTTTTAAAATGAGTTTTGCTTTTTGCAAGATTCCTTATCTTGTTTTCAAGATTTTATTCATGATTTTATGGTTTCATGATTTCAAGATTTCCAAGATTCGACGATGAACTGTGAATTGCAGGTGATCCGTCGGTGTGTTTTGGAAACTTGGAAAGTGAATGCTTTTTGCTCACCGAGAATCAGCTCTTGACAAATCTTGCACTCGGCCACGCTTATCTGCAGCATTGCAGTACGGTTAGTACTTTTTTCTGTGCAAATATTTCCATAAATTTCGTCGAATTGATGTAAGAATGCGAAACTTGGTCAGTAACGAAAGCGTGTAATTTAATGCTGCCTGTATCTGAAGAAGCGATGAAAAAGAAGTGTTTCTTCCCTATCAAATTAATGGTGTGCAAGATGCTGTTGCGTAAAAGTGAGAAAGTAAAATCCGACAGGTCCGGGATGCTTTTGGCTTTGCCGGTGGGCGTCAAATGTTAATGAATAATACTCGCGAGAAAAAGTAGACGGCCCATCGCTACCTTAAATGATTGGGGACAGACAAGTGTGCGTGCCGTACTTGTAAATGTGGTCCTAGCCGATTGTTTTCAGATTTCGCTAGCAGCGCTGCCAGAGTTTGTACGTGATCAGCTTGCGCCAAAATTGGTCACCGAAGCACAGCTTATATTCGTTCTTCGTCTCGTTGTTCCCATTTTACAGCGATTTTATGATGCAAAGGAAAGAAGCAAACAGATACAGGATGTATGCTTTCCGTCTTCACTGACTCATTTTGAAGACTCATTTTTTTGACTCAATTTTTTTGACTCGTTTTGAAGAGTCATTTTTTTTGACTCATTTTTTTGACTCATTTTGAAGACTCATTTTTTTGACTCATTTTGAAGACTCATTTTTTTCTTCACTGACTCATTTTGAAATATACGGATTTGACAAGTTTAAGCGCCACTCCATCACCGGTACCACATGTTGTGCCCCTGCAATAACTACTTGCCTAGGAGGCGGTTGTTCCTGATTGCTCATACCTAAAATTGGTACCGAATTCCTGTACAAGTATTTCCTCAGGAAGATTTCTTGAACTCAAAATCACCGCTAATCTTGTGAACTGATAAATGCTGACCTTCAGTGTCAGAAAACGCAACAGTGAGAAATCTAAGAATAAGTAAGAGAAGGTTTTGATTTTCTAGCATGCTACATATGTCCGGGGGGAAAAGCCAAGTCTTTTTTTTTTTCGTTTTCAGCTTGCCGTGGATGTATACAAGATGACAGTGAAAGTAAACGAACGAGTTGGTGTGTTGAAATACGAGGACTCAATTTGCGACTTGTTGTACCACATGAAATATATGTATGTCGGTGATTTTGTGAAGAATGAAGCGGAACAGGCAATTCAACGGCTGTCCCCATCGATGCGCGATAAGCTGAAATATATCTCACACACTCAAGTGAGCAGCACCACTACCACCAGTTCCGAGCATTCGCCACAGAAGAACTCTTTTCTTAGCACATCCAGCCTCTTTTAGGCACCGCGATACTTGATGAGACATGTTTGTAGAAGGCAGAAGATCTAGTTCAAACACAGACAGATATGGGGAGAGAGGGGGGCCAAGGGTCTTTCGTACAGGACACAGCGGCACAGGCACCAACGCTGCAGAAGCCCACGTCTAAAGCTAAAACTAAACTAAAGCCTGAAGTAACTCTAAGTAGCACTGTGTTACAACTCTATTCCTAGTTTTTGCATAGTTCCAAGGTGGTAGGGGACTTTCCCCCATCCACGGCCGCCCCACTCGCCATCGCCCTTCTCCCAGGGGCCTCATTCAGCCTCCATCTCCTGTCGTCCTCTTCCCATGAGTCCATCCTGGATCCGTCTATGACTTCAGGACAAAT